TATATCTATATAGAAACAAATTATCCTTTTAAAAGTAAACATTGAAGTAAAATGTGTATAATTTAAGGGAACTAAAACAACTCGATGCAAATTCAATGTAAATTACGGCTAACACAACTTTAAAGAGAACATTTACAACCTAGATACGAAACCCGAATCAAACAAAGAATACATGGGAAATCTCTCCTTACATCACAGTTTCGCTTTTACGAGTATATCTTTCAGAGACCTTCCTCGTTTGTACGATATAATTGGAGGTTCTTTGTAGATCTGTCTAAGAAGAGGTTGGTTCTCTATCAGTTGCCATTGTTTCATAAGAATTTTTTACGGCTACGANAAATAACTCAAAATTAAATGTCAGTCAAGCAAGTGAATTTAGGAAATTTACAAAGAAAGCTGTGTAAAAGAGTTAGAATTTCCTTTGCTCAGGATTCCCTAAAATGTCAAAACTAAAAACTACGAACGGTTGGTATTTAAACAGGCGAAAGGTCTAGCCACTCAGTGACTAAGCTGTATATCTATATAGAAACAAATTATCCTTTTAAAAGTAAACATTGAAGTAAAATGTGTATAATTTAAGGGAACTAAAACAACTCGATGCAAATTCAATGTAAATTACGGCTAACACAACTTTAAAGAGAACATTTACAACCTAGATACGAAACCCGAATCAAACAAAGAATACATGGGAAATCTCTCCTTACATCACAGTTTCGCTTTTACGAGTATATCTTTCAGAGACCTTCCTCGTTTGTACGATATAATTGGAGGTTCTTTGTAGATCTGTCTAAGAAGAGGTTGGTTCTCTATCAGTTGCCATTGTTTCATAAGAATTTTTTACGGCTACGAACTGATGGTTGATATTACGTGACAAGGGGCAAAATAGTTTTTTCTCTTGAAAGTTCTTGCTTCTTTCCTGTTTTCATAGTGTATTTCAGAGAGAGATAGAGATATTAAATTCTGTGGGTATTCTCCTCTAACTAAGGTGCTTTTGGAATTCTTCTAGTCGGTTTTGAAAGTTTTCTTTTGAGGAATTTGTTCTGAGTAACGGGAGGCTTCGCCCTTTATAAAGCCTTTCTTGACCCGTAATGGGTGGCAAGATGTGAAAAGTGTATACATGTAGTGAAATGTTTCAGTTGGCTTAAAATGCGTTCCTACATCGAGAATTGCCCGGTACTGTTAAACCGTTTCCCTTATTGAGTCTTTAGTTGCCTCTGCTTTACAAGACACAGGTGGCCATGCGATTTCCCGCCAAAATAACCTCGAGTTGCATTTGGGTTGCCATACCTGTTGATTGAGTTATTTTACATTGGTTTGCCTGTGGTGCAGACGTACGGCGGTCGATCGGTGTACGGTCACGTGATTACCAAATTTTCTGGGATGGGAAGATTTACCTACCCATGGTACTCCGCTGGCGCGCGCGAGAGCTCTGCTACTACCTAAAACAGCGATTTTTTGGGCTGCGGTTACATAGTTACAATGAAAATAGTTAACTTCTCCGAGTGTTCTGAGGCAGAGGAGAAAGGTGAGTCAAGAGAGAGCCAAACCGGTCTTAGCAGAGAGTAAGTTTTGTGCTAATAGATCTTCTCATGGTCAGACTAAGAAATTCCCTAAGAAAAAAAGCCCTATGGATAGCAGAATACAAGTATCGGTAGTCAACAAGTGGACATGTTTGGAAAGGGAACCGAATTGCTTAACGACCTCACGCCAAGTAAGGTTCAGCTTTGAAAAGCGGTGCGGGAGAGTTTATAGGGAAAATGGCCTCCATAAACAGCTTTAATAGATACGCGTATATAACACTACAGAAAGCCTAAACAATGATGGTTTACGCCGTCATCTGTTTCAGTCCCTCCTCACCGAGATGGGCGCTTGGCCCCTTCTCATTTCTCAGACGTCATTTAGCGGGGAAACCAGGAATTTCGATTACCAAAAATATTTTTATTTTTATATATCATACCAAGCGATAACTTTTTAGGTCCTAAAAATATTAGCTTACTGTCCTTAAATTACGTGCACCAAAATCTGCTGTTTACGCCCCTAAGAGTAGGCCTTTCCAGATTCTGTTCGGCAACTTTTTAGCAACTTTTAGGATTTGAGCAACTTTTTTGTCAGAGAGTAACTTCTAGCAACTTTTCGGAAAACTAGCACTTTTTTGGTAACTTTTGGACCATTTTGAACCAAAATGCTGAATAACCCCCTTTTTGTAAAATAAACAAGTTTAAATTCTCTTGGTTAAAATTCTAAACATCTTTCTAGTAAAACTCATATTTTTACCCTTTGAATGGGTATCATGTGGACGTGGTTATTAATTACAAGAATTTGGTTTGGGTAGCCTCAACCTCGTTCCCAGGGCTTTTCCCTTCCCGTGGGGGGCGCCCCCACGAGAAGGGAAAAGCCCTCGGAACGAGGCTGGGGTAGCCTGTGGACTGTGTATAAACAAAATGGCGGACGCCACGTCTTCCGAAGACGAAGAAATCGAAAACCCCATTATCGCACAAAAACAACAGTTAGCTAGATTTTTAAACCAGATTGTTACACTTACTGTCTAACTTTTTGTGACTAGCCACTTAGATTCAACTTAAGGTTGCCTAATTTGTTGTAACTAGTTACTTAGTCGTACCTTAATGCTGATTACAAAGCAATTGTTATTAAATTAGACATGCTGTCTTAAAAATATTCGAGCAACTTTACAAAATTTTTAAGCAACTTTTTGGCATATTTCTTAGCATTTTTTTAGCTTTTCGGAGCAGAATCTGGAAAGGCCTACCTAAGAGAGACTACGAGCATTCCTGTCTCTGTCATATGAACGTTGAGCTCGCCCGGAGCATAGCACTTATGGGTAATAACGGCCCAATTATACAAATCTTCATCTACCAGGCTCCTATATGCAAACGTTGTATAAAACTAGTCTCCTTTCGGTCAAGCAAGGTTGTTACCAAGTACAACAGAATCCGTTTAAGGATGCAGTGATCTTGTTATCTCTGCGTCCTCCGTCCCTGACGTATAAAAACCCCCAAAGGCGCAAAACAGTTCATGAAATGCGTCCCGTAAGAGGCAAAGAACGATAGATCGATTTGAAGATTTTTTGGTAGAAGATTCAGTTCGTGTGATTTCTGTGGCTGTTGTTTAAAAATGCATATTTATTTTAGACTTTCTTGTGCTTTAAATATATAGGACTACACTTTAATTTCAGTAAACTGTAATAAAGCGTTTCGGCGTCTGTCTCCGGATTAACTGTCTGGTTACATAAAGGCCCAAGCATTTGCAATTTAGGATTCCTTGTTTTTTTGAACTAGGACTCATTGGTTACGGACAGGGACTCGTAATTTAATTTTTCACACGATCATTCCCAGAACCCACCATGACTATTTGCAGAGATGCCAACCTCTGGAGACCTAAAATCGGGAGACTGTCTTTTTTAGACGCCCCCCCCCAAAAAAAAAATTTCAACGAAAACCCTCCCCCCCGAACAATTGACCCAGCCCCCAATGGGAATGACTTAGGACATTACATGACGTCTTACATGATGTACATACTGTCAAAATTCGAAATCATCGTCTTGATACTAGAAATAATCTTTGTCAATGACTAAACACGTGAAAAAATAGCCCCAGAAAAGTGCTCCGAATAAGAAAAATTCACATTTTGAGCTAAAAATGGGCTAAATCTCAAACTAAGTCTGTTTTTTTTTTACTAAGTATTCAATATTTATAGTGGACGTAAAAAGCGGGAGATTTATGTACCAAAGCGGGAGAGCGGGAGACGAGGCAAAAAAAGAGTAAGTCTCCCGCCAAAAGCGGGAGAGTTGGCATCACTGTATTTGTAACAAAATCACTGAAGACTGGTTTTCACTAACGACGGAGTCGGAGTCGAAATCGTAAGCGGAGTCGTAAGAGCGCCTATGACCTTGTGAAAATCAAAAATCTGAGTCGTAAGCAGAGTCATAAGCGCGACGGAATCGGATTCAGAAGAATCAGAACGCTTCCATCTTCTCCCGCTTCCGCTTTTAATACGATCAAGTGATAACCAGATTGTCGGAGTCGAAAGGAGAAGCGGAAGAATAAATCAATCACAAAGGAGTCCCAGTCGGCTTTGTGATTGGTTTAGTTCTTCCACTACTGCTTGCGACTACGACAACCTAGTTTTCACTTGATCGTAAGCGACAGAGTCGTAGGCGGAACCAGAAGGCTGTTTTCACTAATTAAAATTGTTAAGTCCTACGCTTCTCCTTTCGACTCCAACGTCGACTCCGTTGCTAGTGAAAACCAGCCTTTATAAGGCATTCAACCACATAAAGGAGTAATTACTGTAATTCCAAAATTCAACTTAATAACTACAATTACACTAGTTAAGACCTTATTAGTCGTTTATGATCATCGCGTCACCTATTGTCCAGCGACGACATTGTGACTCCCAGCTCTTGAGTAAAACTCTCAAAAGGACAGCTATTTCTATAGACGGCGATAGTTCTGTTCCCTCTAATTTCGGCAGAAAGATACCAATCGTAATATCCGCTAAACATCGCTTATAATATACTAAAACTGTTAGCAGTTAAAAGGTATACAGCAAAGGCCACTAGAGAACATTAATTTTGTAGCTTTTTGTGCAATAAATATCGCCCACTCAGTTATAAACAGATCTGTATCGAGGCCTACTGAATGTTTCGTTATCAGATTGAGTCTACTGATGCATTTTTTTAAAACTGGCCCTAAGATTTATCGTGCCTTTTTCGCTTTTCGTACCAACTGTAAAGTCGGAGAATAGCCCATAGGCACTCCTGACAAACCACCAAAAGAGGAAATTGGGGGCTCAAAACAGAAATCGGGGAGGCTTACTACCTTGTTTATATCTTGTAGAAGTGATACCAATTTCTCGTCAAAGTGGCAATTTCCCCCATAAACGTGTTCAGCTCCTGTCTGATTGGCACTTGGATTCCCGAAAGGCCTTGTTGAGCCAAACAATGATGTGCCAGAAGCTTGGGTCGGCTTCTTATCATTTGAAATAGATGAGGTAACTAACTGTGTAATCATTCCTCTACAAACTAAGCAACTTCTGATACGCTGAAGGAGACCTAGGTATGACTTATTGCTAAGGAAATGTTGAGGGCAGCGAGTTATGACAGACGGAGACGACGCTAATTTTAAATATAAACAATATTCCACTAACCCAACCAACTGTGGGTGAATCTCCCTAATAAAAGTTTCTAAACGTTCAGTTCTTTTAACAAAAACCCTTTCCATGCTGTCTCGGCTCAATTTCTTAAAATCACTCTTTGCAGAGATATTGACCAAATCCATGTCTTTAATGAGGATTTCACAATCATCACGAACACCATCAAGCCTAGAATCCTCACTTGCTATCACTGTGTCCGTTGCCAAGTAAAGAATCTTCACCACATTCTCCTCAGACTTTGGTACATCTTTGAGTCACTTTGTGCATAGATCAAGCACACCCTGTACATCGTACTCATCAGCTAGCTTCAGAAGGTGACCCATTTTGTCCACTGAATAACAGTCACCAAAAACACAGTTAGACTGATAGAGATAAAAACGGGCGGACGCAGCTATGAATTTTCCAGAGTAACGCACAGTTTTCTTAATTCACCCTTTTTCCCTCACCGATNTGAGATGACATGCGGTTTTCTAATACAACTGGTACTCTGCGAAAAAAAAAAAAATTATGTGGTTTATTGGTGTTGAAGTAGAGCAAGAGACGAGTGCACCCCCTCCTAAAAAAAATCCTGGATCTGCCCCTGTAATTCACCCTACCCTTTTTCCCAAATCGATTTCCTTGTGCAGTGGTTTCATATGTCCTTTTGTCATCAGTGAGCTTTGGTATTTTCATTGTATATATAGTTCAACTAATCAACTGATTGTGTGGAACTATGATATTGGTTATTGGCAAATGGTTGACTGGTAATCCCAGGGGGGGAGGGGGGGCGGGGGGCGGGCAGGGGGAGGGTACTTGGGTTAATTTTTGCTGGGTACAAGGTATGTGCCACTGGCCTCTCAGAGACCCTACCCCATCATAGTCTGTTCTGTGGCCAATTATAGACCCAATCTTGGTCACTTTTGGGCAAATGCAATTTTCACGATCCCAACTTAGTCGCTTTCTCTTTATGTATCTACCTCATCAATCCTTTAAACAGGTCATTGTAAAATGAATTTACCCATTTTTAAATTGAATGAAGAACACCTTACTTTTCATCTATGTACAGTACAAACATTCTGGTACGTTTGAAGAACTTTCTGACCCCAAAAATCTGAAAACCCCCATTATAGTAACTCTATCGAAAATGTGACCCCATTATAGTCAATTCAGCGTAAAAATGCGACCCTATCCAGTGGCACATTCCCATTAGCCTCTGGTAATGAGCACAAGTATTTCAGAAGCATTAGCACAGAGTCATCAGCCCACATGACAATTGGGGGTGAAAACACAGCAAATATCAAGTCAACCAAAGACAGAGTAAAACATTCATACTTGCACAATGCTTTCGTGAAAGTTGCCTTTGTCTTTTCAGATGCTTTTTGCGGTGATTTTGCATACTTTATACATGCAAACCACACTTAGCAAAATTCGAAAGACATACACAGAGATGCCAATTACCTTTCAAGATGTAAAATGTAAAGACTATCTGTTTTGTAGCCCATCCCCCCCCCCCCACCCCTGCATATGGGGGGAATGATTGCAGGGTACACATTATAATGAAGTCTTACATATGAGGTATAAAAGAGACCACCAAAAGTTGCCTCCAAGGCAGGATTGATGAAATAATCCTTGTAAGTGATGAAATAAATGCCAAAGTACAGCAGGAACCATACTACATTGGCTTGAAAACATATTATTTTAAAGTTTGGGAAAATGGGCTAAGTTCCAAACTGAAGCAAGAAGAGCTCATAAGTTGATTTTATCTGGGAGATTGGGTGAATAATATGCGAGACCAGGATATTCAAGCCATATCTGGTACTCCCACATAAGCTGGGAGAGTTGGCATATATGCATACACTACTTAATTTGATTATTGATTTTTCAATGTCACTATACACTGTATGTCTTACTTACAAGTAATACCCTCTGTTTCTTTCAAGTAGAGCACCTTCAGAAAATCCAGAACCTCATTTGCCTTCTTTCCTGGTAATGGAATTTCTGTGGCTGTTCCTTCCTTAAACTTTGAGCTGAGCATTGCTTTGAACACTGGAGAGTGTAAACTCAGGATCTGTCGATGGACATAAAATGTATCATCCTCCACTGTGAGCACCAAGTCACTATCCTCCCAAGGTTCAGAAAATGGGTGTCTCTCAATCTGCTCCACTGATTGTTTGACACATTCCTCTTTAAAAAAAAAGGAATAATAATTACCCTGGCCTCCATTGGTGGAAATTATGTCAAAAAATAACAATAATTTATTGTGTTATTAGAAAAATGGCCCCAACCCCCTTCAGTGTTTAAGAGACACTTATCTCATTGCCAGACATTATGCGCTGATCAATCAAAGCCAAAGCATCCCCTACACAGGGCAAACCCTGGGCATTTGACCATCACTCATGCCTGCGAAGCGGGGAATTTGACACAAAAGGCATTCCCAAGGGTAGGGTATTTGAACTGAAAGTGACAAGACAAATATATAACTTCTTTGTATCCGGTGTCTGGATGAGAACGTGATTAGATAGATGAAATCTTTCCCATGGTTAGCCTGCATAGTTGATGGGATTTTGTGCGTGGGTACTTTCTTGGAGAGCTGCCATGTGAACCGAGTGGTGAAGCCATGAGGGAATTGACGTGCTTCCAATCTCCACATGGCTCCACTGCTCCACTTGCCTGCTAATCCCACCAGCTATGCAGGCTGTCTCATAGTGAGATGGAGAGAGACATAGCTTTTGAATGTGAATGGCTTGTTCAACAAAGACTTCAAAAGCTATGCAAGATTTTGGAAGTGAAATGTATGAAAACGAGAGTGGCTGTAATTTTTGTAGTTCAGCTGTTGTGGATTTTGTCAGTCAAGGTGGTTGCCATAATACCAGGGTTTTCAAAGAAGTTGCCTTTACTGAAGTACATTTGACCACTATATTGGCCTAATATAAGGGGTAATTTAAACAGGCCTGTCCTACAAAAAGTTCCATTTTGTCACAAATGTGCAAGGGTTGTCAAGGGGACGAATGCACGTTGAAGTGTTGACTGATCAGTGTATATCTCATGGCTAGTTTCGCCCCATGTAAGGGAATCCGGATTCTGGAATCTAGGAAATTTTTGCTTGTGGAATCAATCTGGTATCTATTAAACTTTCACTGTGAAATCCTGAATCCTGGGCTTTGAAATGTGAAATACAGCCCATGGAATCCAGAATCCCCTTTCGTTGTGGCCGAATCATGCAGTTTTGACTAGTTTCCCGTATCTCACTCTTCAAACAAATATCGTTGAATTTTTTTAATATTATTAAAATTAGCCTCTCTCATCCCCAATTTAATCACGAGGAGAACCCGAGGATTCTAATGCAGAAATGCCTTTCATTTCATACCAGTTTCAGCAGTTTCTGCAGCATTTGCATAGCTTCCGCTTTGGCTCTTCTCGTCCGCGGCAGAGTCTTGCACGGGGTATTCAAATGGAATTAAGTCTTCGTCTTCCATTGTAAATGGTGTGGCGGTGTTTTTCAGTCCTTTATCCACTGACAGTAACGAGGTTCCTCAAGTTAACAATACTCCTGGCACAAATCAACACGAGGACGATTCGCGATCCCGGAAACAGGGCTGCCCTTAAAGCCTATCGGCCGTGATGACATTCGATTGGTTCATTCATGGATAATATCCATGGTTCATTTTGGGGCGACAAAATGCATTTGATTATGAGGAAGTGAGCCTGCAATGTGTACGTTTGTCTGTAGCTCGGGCTCCCAAATAAAGTTTGATACAAGAGAGAATATAATGGAATCTGGGTTTTTTTTCTTGCAGTTCCTTAGAAAGCCGGAAAAATGGCATAACAGTAGCTATCACACTACAACAGGTGACTACATTGTTATCATCTGCTGCTTATATCCTGATGGACGTCGCATCTTCGACCGCACAGCGGAAACGACTTATGTTTCCTGTTCTCAGTCTCAGATTTTTGGGACTGGTTGTTTTGGAAAGTAGGGTCCCGAGTATTTCTTTCCTAGGAGGTATCTTTACAGGATGGGTACGAAACCCTGATCGGGGAGCTGACCGGGTACTACACCCTGCCTACAGGTGACCCGTAGGCTAGCGGAGCCGGGGAACTAGTCGCCTTACTTCTCCTGTTGGTAGAGAATACCCCTACCCTGCCACCCCAGGTGAGTCGGGTGACTACATGCAATAAATAAATCCATGCTACTAATGCATGGTTCAGTTTGACCTGTTATCATCCCCCTGGGCAACCCCGGGACAAGTCCAGCCCTTCAGGCCCGGGGGTGGGGAATTGTTTGAAGCGGTCCAGTCCCGGGGGTAGGTGGTGGGGCAAATAAAAAATAGCTTCTCTTTAATTTTGCAAAGTTAGTGTCATTTCTCGCGCGGTTTACACGATGACTGCGGACCTCAAGAATACCTGTTTTTGAGGAAAAAAGCAGGAATTTGTCGGAGTTGGAGAGGAAAAACTTAGCAAAATTAAAGTCTGTATTTAAAGGTTTGTTTTAAGGCATTCATGGAGGCTAAAGTGACTGTTTCGGATTGCCATAATTTTTTAGCAGTGTAAAGGCAATGTCATCAGGAACTGGCATGCAAAATTTCAGGTTGAGATACCCAAACTATACCGAGATATACGCGAGCAAAGTTTTGTTTCTAAGGTCAATTTGCCGGGAAAAATAAGACGCCCCACCGCGCTCCAAACACCATTTACTTGTTTTGGAAATCCCAAAGGTGTTGTCGTTGACAGGTCGTTGACATAAAACCTTGTCATCTGATACGCAATACTCTCTTTGATCGGAAAAAGTCATGGCTGCAAGGAAAAACGAGACAGCTCTTGACAATTTGGATGCGGCGTTCCGCAATAACGGGTAAATGAATTTCATTTTTAAAAGAAAGTTGTTCTTTCTGTGATTTTCATTGATTTGGTTTGGTTAACAAAATATCTGTTTGTCGATTAGTTTTCAGGGAAGTCCTGCGGGTCTTTCAAGGCTGGTTCGAGGATTCCATAAAAAGCCTCGGGAAAGCGACGAGGAGGCAAGGAGGAGGTTCTATAGACGAATTTTTGGCATTTTATGAGTATATTTCAATTTCAATTTGATTGTTCTTTCAGATTTGATAAAAAAATATCGTAGTTTTCAGTTTTCAGGTAACATCTTATGGGCGCTTATCGCCACGCCGTATGCCACGTAAGCCAGCTCATTGATGCGCAGGAAAATTTCACGTGCATGGCTCGAAGTAATTCCGTAAAATACCAGCAAATAAATGTCACCTTGTGAATACTTTTTCTTTATTACGGATCATCTGTTTGTTCGTTTTTCATTCCTTTGAGTAAATATACATGAAGTGTCTGGTTAGGATTGCTGGTTATTGGAGACATTCCTTGTCCGTAAATTTTTTTCCGATTAATAATACAAGCAAAAACGAATGAGGCCAGTATTCAGCCCTAAAGAATGTGACTTGATAAGGGATTTATCAAATGGCTATAGTACTGCGAAACATTTTGTTTTGGTAACTGCACTCACGAAAAATACGTCTCTCTCCCCAGCTTTGGTGACCGAACAGGGCTAACAATTTGATTCATCTCAGGGGCGGATCCATGATTTTTCTCAGGGAGGGTGCAGCATCAAGTCCACAGGATACCCATGAATAGGACATGTGACAATGTGGCATGCAAAATGTCTGCTCTGACCAATAGGAGAGCTAATTCTCCAGACTTTAGTGCCAAACTACCATTTTTAGTTATTCAACCTTGTCTGGTGTACTTCAACACTAAAAAAACACATTTTTTTTCTTTTGCAGAATGTATGGATTGTATGGAATTGTATGGATTATGAAAAAAACCAACGAACAAATTCCTCGCGTCGACCCTTTTCAGTTTCATTGATGTCCGTTGGTACCCTCCATCGGTATTGCTGCTGTCGCCTGTAGCTTCCTCTTCATCATCGTTTAGAAAAGCATTTCTTCATTTCTAGGATGTCAATGAAACGGAATTCTGTAGACGAAGAAGGCTCTAACCCCAGAAAACAAACGCCGAATTTAAGACGGATGAAGTCAAATTTTTTCTCTATGAGGTGAAAAAGAGAAAGATGACTCTATCCTTTACTCTATTCGGTACTTTATCTCCTACACTGACATTTATATTGAAAATGCAAACGTGGTTGGAGGTTCATAGTTAGTTAGTAGCCGCCGGGTTCCCACCAAGAACAAAGGAACAACTTGTCGTCAGCCACTAAAGCCAATACGCCCAAACGAAAGAAGACTTGTGGGCGGTGCAATAGTGTGGACTGACGTTGACGAGCTAATCACCCAGATACTCGGAAAAGAAAATATCTCCCTCGTATCTATAGTTGGTGGAATAGACTCTGGGGATAAAATCTAAGCCAGTGAACACACCGTTGATGCTTCAAGTGACGCCATTTTGAAAGACAGCTTATCGTCAACTTCATAGTACCTTTCAGTGGGTCCAGATAGGATGGTTGAATTGGAAAGTGGCAAGAAAACTTCAGAGAACAAGCAAGAAGAAAGCCGTTTAAGGGAAGAGCAAACAAAAGAACCAAACTGTAAATCCGACACTGTTAGGGAACAAGGACATAGAGAAAGGAACATTGAGAAGGTATATGAAGAGCATTTAAAAGAAGAGCATGAAGTTAAAATGAGAATTTTAAAAAAGAAGGAACAGCTGCTTGATCTTAAGTCGCAGTTGTTTCGACGAAAACTTAACATTGACGAGTAGTTTAGAACCTGTGAAGATATTACCTTCATAAACTATTTTTGATTATGTCGAAACTTCTTGGTCGATTTTTTTCTTTAAATGATGACACACTTTCTTCTGTTTATATAAAACGTTATCTCAGTGAAACCGGCTGAATTTCCCAAATCATCTAACAGAGAATTAAAAGTGTTCGAAACGACCAGATACTTTCTTTACACCCATCGATGGTTAGCTTAAAAAAATAGAGTGAGTCACTAATAAAGTACTATAAACAAAAAAGCGTGTGCCCTTAAGTGAGCCCGTTAAGTTACCACGTAAAACAGAAACTTAATACGAGAGCGCTAAGTGCGTTCCATGCAACACCCGTAAGTGTACCCATAACAGATTCGTAAGTGACCTTTCATGCAACCGGGCCCAGAATTATCGGGGTAAATTTTAGTGAGTTTGTGATCAAGGGAAAGGAAATTTAATTCGAGTTAGCGAGCTCGAGGAATT